GTTTTTCACGTTTTTCTGTTTTTACAAGTTTTCTGCTGTACAGTTGACGTCAAAAATCTTTAAAGGTGATATTCTTGATCAGCTCGACGTGCTCTATCCAACCATGTATAATTCGACCAGATTCATTTTATCACTAACCTTTTGAATTTCCGGCACCTTATATATCGACAGTTTTCGTTATTCAAGCCTATTCAGGAAAAAATCATGACGCAATTATATTTGAAAAGAGAAAAATTTTCTTATAACGGGTGGCACATAATAAACGAGACACTTTTGTTCTTTATTTTTAAGGCCCTTCCGAATGATCTAAAAATCTGGCTCTAGTCTCATTCGATAGAAAATTGAATTCTCTACAAAACCTGCTTTGTGAATCTCTGATAGCATTTTTCTCGTTTGAGCACCACTCAAAATATTGAAAAGAGAAATTAAACTGTAGGTTTTTAGAAACGTTTTCTGAAGGCCTTAGAAAACTACCTTTTCGAACTATTTCACCTACTGGTAAAAAATCAAACCCAAAAGCAGTTTCAACAATACCAGAATGTGGAGCAAACATTTCAGATCAAAAGGAGACATCGCCCCGCTTTGGGTGATGTTTTGATCAAAAGTTATGAGGGTTTTGCTAGAAGCCTAAAATATGCATCAGATGCTAGCGCCACCGTATCTCGAAAGCGATATTCACCTTGACAGCATTTCGTAGCTGCAAGGTTTCTCGGTAACGAAACGTCGTTGAGAGGTGGTGTTGGACTTAAACTGAAACTAACAGCTGTGGCTAGAGGCTTATAGAGCCCGATGTCAGTTTGTGTAGTGGTCCGAGGTGATCTGGATGAATTAGAGTGCGACATTCAGTGGCAGCAAAAAGTATTCGTACGATTTTGGTTTGCTCATAACTCGATAACGAAGGTGTTTCTTAAAATTGTGAAACTATCAGAAGAATGCCCGTTGGCTCCGCTGTCTATGGTAAAGTTTTGCAATCACTAGGCCATTTGTATCTGGACTTATGGCTATAACAATAGAGAGGTCTATGTTTTTTTGGCAAAAAGTATTCGTACGGTTGATAAAAATCCTTTTTTACGTTATATAAGCACCGATAAAATATGAAAACTACATCAGTCGATAGAAGAGAGCGCGGGCTAGATTTTGGTAAAAAAGTAATTTTGAAAAGCTTTTTTCCTTAGGGTGAAAACACGACTTTACGCCAAAAGTGCCATACTCTTCAGTGTGACTGCTCCATCTCAGGTATGCGTGACTGAAAAAAAAATTCTGATTAAGTTCTGTTTTAAGTTCAGGGGGAGAACCGGTTTTCCCCCTGAACTTAAAAAGTCTAAGTCTCTCATACTCCTACACAGTAACTACTTGACTACATGATGACGCAAAGATATCCAAAAATGTTTACCCTGCGTGCAGAAAAGATATTTCCAAAATAGCCCTAAGATCCAAAACATTAAAAGATGGGTCAAATTGAACCCATCTTTTGACAGTTCTCAGACAGAGAACAGGAATATCGGTAAAAGAAATGAAAATCATTTTCGCTTGATCTCACGAATGAAGAAGTCAGACATGAAAGCTTAGGGAAGCCGTCAAAAATAAGTCTATGCTAAAGATTGGGATCGGGATCAAAACATTTTACTGGTCCCGGTAAAAGATTTGCCTGGCCTGGTCATTGCATTTGCTAAATTAATTGATAACGAAGGCCTGTGATATACTTTAAAATATATGGGCTGAAAGAGCAAACATTTGTGTACGAAATGCGTGGTCGAATAATAGTTTACCACTAAAGTTAATAGAATGGCACGCAAATCTTTTATCGGGACCAGAAAAAAATGTTTGGTTCCGATGCCTGTCTGTAGTCTATGCGTAGACGTAGACCATAGTCTACGAGTAGATACAGATCAATACCATTCTCTTAATACCATTCTCTTTAATCATTAGCTTCAGATAATAATCCATCATCATTAGCAACAACAACGGATCCCGTATTGATAGCTAGATTTTTATTACGCTCATTACGGTATAATATATTAGCTGCAAAATCTACATTGAAACACTTAAATGATCGTTATCCACTTAAGTATATTAATATTGTTGAAGATTTATCTAAACGCAGTGCTACTATATATCATTTAGCACGTGGAAAACTATCTAAACAAAATAAACATAAAATACATTGTAGTTTTGTTTGCTTCTTTATTCACATTTTTTCGACTTCTTTTCTTAACCGTACTAGAAACTCGACTGGGTTCTTTTTTCTTATAAATTGTGGAGCTAATTTATTTCCAAGAGTAGAATTTAAATTTCCTAAAACTACAGAAACTAATCCTGATTTATAATATCCTTAAAATGAATCTAACTGCAACAATAGCACTGGGGAAAGAATCCTCGGCGCAGAGTCATCATAAATAAGAAATCTTTAAAAAAAAGAACGTTTGAGTTAAGGCACATGTAATTCGAAGTTTCCACACTATTTTATTTTTGACTTATTTATACACCATTGGATAGAGCTCGATGAACTGATCACGAATGTGTAGTTTTCAACTTTTCGAAACGTTTTTTTCATGTGGAAAAATCGAGGAAAGGCGAACCACCGCAAAACTCGAAAAACGATGATGTTCACCAAAGTTAGATTTTTCGACTTCAGTTTTTCGTCGAAACATTCAAATTATTTTTTTCTTATTCAGCGTTGAATACTGAATTGAAAACTAATATTATATGCATTTTGGAGGTAAATGCCTGTCGACCATGGACGTTCGAAAGAAGCGATGAGAAATAAGGGTGAGTCATTTTGTAAACCTATCTGTTTTTTTGTGTTAAGGGCTGAAGCCGGCATTTGCATCTCAACAGATTCGCTGAAAGCATAGTTTTAAAAGTACAGTTCGCTTTTTTTAAATTTTGTATCGTTGCTGAGAAAATTCATTTTTTCTAAATAAGAGACGGAAAAGTCGGAATTCTCCTCGTGATTCACAATTTTCCCCAACAGCACTCAACTTCTATGGAATAAAAATATCAGATTTGGAATCAGGATCAAAAAACGAATCGACTGGTGTGTATCCCTATCCTATCCAAGTGCTTTAATTTTTTTTGAATTTTCATCCTGAAAAATCATCGAGATTTTCATCAAAAACTGAAAATCAACTAAAAGTTTTAAAATACACTATGTGTTAATGAACGTGCTCTTAGACCATTATGTTGAATTGCGTTTTAGATATATTTTTGAGATATATTTCTACTTTTATTCTAGTTTTAAGTTTAGTCAAAGTTAATTGTTTTAAGTACTCAATTTTATTCTGGTTGCTACAATTCCAGCCAAAGCGCAAGATGCCAAAAAATTGTTGTCATCCCATAGCACATTCAGTTCAGTATCGCAGAGGCGCAAAAGTGCATGTACCATATGAACAATACTCTGTTACTCAAGAAATAGCAAAATCTTTGGATAAGTATTACAAAAAGCTAAGACATGACCTATCAACTGTTAAAGAAAATGATATTTTATGTCAACGTTGTTATGAAAAGAACAAAAACGTGCGAATCTGAGTAAGTACTTTAAATGTTTGTTATATATTAAAATAAAATCTAATAAAAAGCTTTTTCTTGACACAATAATACGGAAAACTAATTTTTCTCAGAAGGCCAAGCCGATACAAATGAATCAGAGGAAGCTGGCGATGAGATAACAGCTACATCAGCGTCAAAAGGTCCAATAACATCATTAAAAATATCTGCTACATTAGATTTTGGCAAAAGAAATTTAAGAATTCGATCACCATCACCTCCATCCGTTGATTTAGATCAACCACTAGATGGTAATATGGTAATATCACCAGCAACTATTCCACATCGTCAAACGTCAAGAAACTTGATTTCTTCATCAACAGTGTCACCTTCTGGTGCTGAACGAGAATTAAATCATGATAAAAAGTTAAATGCAGAAAAGTTGAATGAATCACCAATCAAAGACTAGTATGTTCAATCTTGAGGTTGATTTTCTTTTGGAAATTCCAGATTTCTTTTGTCTAATTTCTAGAAGAAATTCGAACATTCTTAGACGAAAATTTAATATATTATTAAATCAAATCAAATCTTTAGCAACATCAGTCACACAACGTTCATCAAGGTTTTCTCCACCATCAGCTATAACAGCGACTGATACTGATGATACAACTGAATTAATTCAAAATTTACAATTAAAAGGTAAGATAATTAACCCCTCCCCCCTCATAACAGAAGACCATCCCCTATTAAAAGACTACTGCCGATTATATGACTTGAAAGCCAAACAGAAGACCATGATCTTCTAACTCCTAGAAGATCAGTGGTCTTCTATTATGGGTGGGAGGGGGTGGGCGGCGGTAGTATGTCTTAGCGAATTTGATGATAAATACGGCTTTTAACATTAAGTCCACCGAATTGGTCAAGAACAGCACTAGCACGTTTTTTTGCAGTCGCAGAATGGTGAGATCCTCAAATACTTAATTATATATAATATTAATAGAGCTATTAACATGGAAAAAAAGATACAAAGCAATGCAAAAGATATTTTGATTAGTAGAATTGCTCCTACAGATCGCTCAAAGTCATTTTCTGACTCGCCATGGTCGATTACCTCCACTATATTATTTTTATGATTTAGAATCTTACACATTGCTAGTTATTGCATGCTATGTGGACGCCGACGCCGATATTTTTTTCATATGACTCTAGACTTCCAGTTAAGGGAACAACTATCGATATAGCTCAGGAAATATCCATGATGATGATGAAATCAGAGTGCTCAATTGAAACCATAGCTAAAATAAGCTATTTTGAGTTTATTATTAATTTGCACATCAAGCAAGCAGCTTACTTAGAGGCTTTGCCACTTTATCAAAGAATGACCCTATAGCACGACAGGTGCAAACTCTTAGTTTGACAGCTGTTCGCTAAAAGCAACTATTGCAGTAAGGAAAAGTTTCATTTTTAGACCGACAGATCTACACTGACAAGCTAGTTTTTCTAAAAGAATATAGTTTCAATTACAAAAAGTTATTATAAATCGACGATGCAAAAGAAAAGAATATAGTTCAGATCATTAATTTAGCATAGGTTACGACCATAAGTATGCGCTGACTACAGCTCCCATGAAAGGCAATCGAGCGACGTTTTTACCCTTACTGTCACCACCAGCTCCTGCTGCGACCAAAAGTGGCATGAAATGTTCTGCATGACCAACAGGATGTGCGTACCTGGCTTCGTTGAATTTTTCCCATTTTAAGAGCTTTTCGTCTCGTTCCAGCCCGATTGATTCGCATGCATCTTGAATTGCATCTTCAAACGGTGTATTATTATCAATTGGTAATTGACTGAAGAATGCTCGTAGATTATGAAAACTCATGCCGGATCCAATAATTGCAATGTTTTCGTCACGTAGCGAACTCAAAGCACGGCCCATTCTTATGTGTTCCTCAGCCGATTGCGATTCGAGTACAGACAATTGAACAATTGGAATATTGGCATCTGGAACGAGCAGTAGTAATGGAACAAATACACCGTGATCCCATCCACGTCTGTTGTCTAGTTTTGCATGAAATCCTTGTTTGTTGAGTGCCAATTTTACTTGCTCAGCAACTGACGGCGACCCCTTTGCTGGATATTTAACGTGGTAAGCCTCCCTTGGAAATCCGGAGTAATCGTACAGCAACGAATGATTTTCGGCTGAGGAAATCGTCGGAACGTGTTCTTCCCAATGAGCGGTGACCAAGATGATTGCTTTTGGTAAACCAAGTAACGTGCGGGCTTTGCCGGTAAGGAACTCAATTATGGCTCGGTGCCCTGGATCGTTGAGTAGAGGCATCGGTCCTCCACCATGAGGAATGAACATGGATACTGCTCGATTTGACATGTTGGTCGTTGTGTAGCGGACGGATGATGATGAGAGTCAGTCAGTGAGCAGGAAAGGTGGATTATTTCGAAAAGTAAATGAAAATCTCATTGTTAATAATCATCGTGTAGACGCAGTTTTCTAAAAACAGTAGTGGAGGGAGATGGTTGTTATAAGCTTTATTTAGTAAGAAGGCAAGAAACAAAAAGTATTACGTTAAAAATAAATATAAGAACAGCACAAAAAGAAAGAGGAAAAACCCATGACAACATTTTGTCTGATCATCAAGAAAAAAGTTGCTAGTGTACAATAACATTAAAGGTAAGCATACACACAGATAAACATCAGGTCTGACTGATAACGGACACAGAAAGGCAGGGAGATGGTTAATAAATGTTGACGTAGCACTTTCCCGACATTAGCTGAGCCCCTTTCGTTAGAGGATCTAGTTTTTTTCAGCTCCGAAATTAAACCAGAAATTTTTTGGAAAAATTCAAATAAAAACATGTTGCTGCGATGAGGGATGAAAAGGTAATATTGCCGTTAATTATTAATTTTATGATCGAAACCGTGCAATACTCAGGTAGTGCAAAAACAAGTGCACCATACAGATGCTTGTTCTTGAGAACGGAGAATGATGACAAAGCAGTAAGCAATACGTATATTATTAGAAAATTTAATGTGTAGAATAGGAAAAAAAGAAATAATAACTCAACGCAGAACACATCTAAAACGAAAACAAATTTTCTTTCTTACTGCCGCGGCAGAGGAACGACTAATAATTCAACTTTTTGCATCTGAAGGATGATATTTTTTTGTAATATTTTTTTCTTTTATAAAGAAAGAGAAAATTGCCTTGCTAGCGGCAGAGTCGGTAAGATGTCGATGAATTTTATCGTCGAAAAAGTCAAATCATGGTATCAAAGCATGTGCTTAGTTCTTCCATTTCCGTAACAAGTCACTTCACACTATTGAGGAGGATGTAGTTTGTTACTTACTACTACTACATATAGTATATTCTAGCGGTGCATCGAAAGATATAAGATTATCAGCAAAAGAAATATTAATACCGGCAGTCGAGATACAATTTTTTCTTGGTAATATTATATAAATTAATGAGTTCGATAAAGCCGCATCAGTTAATTTTTGAAGAATTTTTGTAACATCAGGATCAACAACATCATATTTATACGGTGATATTTGGACAAGCACCGATATCGGATAGTGATTTTTGGCCATTTGTTCCTCAAAATGAAATTTTGGATGATGAAGATTTACCAAGCCCTGTTGCTGAGGATGGTGACGGTGATGATGATATAGCAATTCTAAAACAACATGGTACCACATTCGACAATGTTGTTGATCCTGATGTTACAAAAATCCTTTAAAAATTAACTGATGCGGCTTTAACGAACTCAGTAATTGATATAATATTACCAATAAAAATTGTATCTCGACTGCCGGTATTAATATTTCTTTTGCTGATAATCTTATAGGCCGCTAAAAGCAGACAACACCATAAAGTGTAAAAGTAACCAGTTTTGTGCGCTATGCGATGTTTAAATGTTGCAATATGTCAACAGTGACTTCGAGCCTTGTCTTGCCGATTATTATCTCAAAAATGATTGTGTACAGCTCTTATTTCGTTGTAGGCGTGAGTGAGTGGCAGACGATCGAGCACTTCACTCTCAGTGCCGAGGCTGAGAAAAACACAGGAGGAGTGTACATTTTTTTGGAAGATAGCCATAGAAGTCAGAAAACACAATTTTATTTTGGATGATAATGTAATAACGTTTTGTGTATTCCGATTATTGATTTCTTTCTCATTTTTGCTATCCAATTCTCCACATTTTGAGTATGCGTACCTACACGTTGAAAAATTAAGAGAAGAAACAGAAACAAAGTAATAAATAAAACAAGGCAAAGATAACACTTAAAGTTGGATCGACAAAATAAAGTGAATGGTTGACGGTAAGATGCATTCCTAAATATATAGGATCATGTTGCAACTAACTGTAGGTAGCCCATGCATCGCTAAATACTTGTGTACCTATCGAATTAGAAAAGTATTGCTGGATGTCTTAGAAAATATTCAGCACAAATATCACGTATAAAATTTCTCCAATCAACAGTTGTTGAATTACTTTGCATTTTACAATGACGATGTAGAAATTCAACAGAATCAATCTTTTGAGACTAGTGAAAGATTAAATCAAGCATTTGAGACAGACTTTCGCCATTCGTAAGACGAGACCACAGGGCATATATGTCTGTGAGACAGGAAGAAAAACTTGCTACATACAAGTGATGCATCTCGTCGAAGCTTTTTCAATAAAATGCTGCTACATCATCCAAAATTTTACGCAAATTTTGAGGCAAAAATTTCGAGGAAATCTTTTTGTCTGCCTTCAACACCAAACTTAGGTGGACACCGTTTCTCTACATGTCCGATCCGAATATCCTGGTCCTCCGGCTTGAATCGTTGCGAAGAAAAAGCAGGTAGTTTTCATATGCATGAAATGGGAGAAAAATTCATAGCATATATTTGAAATATATGCTATGAATTTTTCTCCCATTTCATGACTATTAATGATTAATAACCCCCTAGCGAACGACGACCGTAGCGAGGGGTGAGCTTTGTCTTGAATTCAAAAGTCATGGCTATCGTTCGTTACTGACTTTAGATCATCTGTTTACCAAATTCTTTATCACTTGATCGCTCGCATGAGGTTCAGTGTAGGAATTTGTGTGACGGCGTGCAATAGTGAATTCTCGATGTGCATTCAATAGAATTTCTTTTCTGATTTCCTAGGTAAAAGAACGCGTTTTATTTTCGTTTTTAAAACCTGGTGAAAACCTATATTAGGTGAAATAACCCCATTTTACCTGTTTTCGCCTGAAACTGAAAATTCAAACCAGTGAAGATCCATCTAGATTACGTCAGAATATCAAGATGTACTCTGTTTTACCTGCTCAATACGATTATTTACTTGAAAATAGTGAAAAATATTCTTTTACTTCGTTCAGAACTTTTACGATGGTATATTGTGGAGAAAAGAAAATAGTACCTTTGTGCAACTTTGTGTACTTGAACTAGTTTATGGCGAGAGGACATAGTGAGTAATAATACAAGATCAGATAGATATTGTTAGTTCATGTCTTACAATAATTTTTTTAGAATGTTAAGCTGTTACTTTTACGAACTCGATAATTTGAGTAATGTGGAATAATATTACATCAAAGAAATAGTTATTATTCTCTAATCTCGCTCCAAAAACTTATTCGTTAACACTGAAACGTTTTGTTTTTCGAAGCTGGCATTGAAGAAGAGTTTTAATACAAACGCAGATTAGCATTTAAAAAGTTCTTAAATCAAAGAAAACTGTTTTTCACGAGATGAGCGACTGGACAGTGGAAAGTTTTTCCTTGGCACAAAAACCATGCTGCATGACCTATTGAACTTGCTGAATAATATTATTACTCTATATTTAAATAATTTCACTATTAGAAAATACTATTTACAAAAAAAAGTAAAGTTCGCAAGTACATGTTTCATATTTTTAATAGTTTAATCAAATAAGGGTTGAAAATAATATTCATTCTTATCTCACATTTCATCAGCAAGAAAAAACAGCTCATAATTCTGGCATCTTTAGTTCTACCCTTTTTTAAATTATTGTTTCAGTCAGTGTTTTTCATGATATCAATTTCTGTTGAATTTTCCGTCATAATCGCTAATAGCATTGGTAAAACTTTTGGAATAGCACGTGGTATTTTTACTTGTTCACTATGAGCACCCAACAACATTTGAGCTAAAAATATCGAGAAAAAAAATGTTCGTTATTGAATCATGTAATTAAACAACTCTTACCGCTTTTCAATTTTAAAAATGCTCCGGTTTTACATATACGTATTTGTATTGGTTGCAATTTAGCTGATTGACGATATATTCCATAATACATATTATTTTCTACTAAATACGTTTCGATTAGTGTTGAAAATAATATTTCATCTAATCTATCGTTATTATTTGTTAACGATTTTAGTTCTATGAATAATGTATGATAAAATAGATTATTATCATGAGATGATGTTGCACAAAAATCAACCAGAATAAAATTCGTTTTGGTTTGTCGATTCAGTTCTTTAATTCCACGTTGTACAGCATCAAGAACCTCCTGCTCAGTTACTTTTTCAGTAAAATGATTTAATATTGTTGCACGACGAAAATATAGTTCAAATCGAGGCAATTGGCCAGTTTCATACTCAACTATTTTGATAACATCAGTCATTCGGTAGCGATATAAACCATTCAAATTTGTTATAACTAATTCATATAATTTACCTAGTCATCAATTGAAAAAATGAGGTAGATGGTTGTTGTTACATGTGCTTGATAATAATCAAATCAGATATTAGATTTTAACAAGTTATAGAGGCTGTCTACGTGAAAGTTTCTATACAATATCAAAGTTAAGATTTCTTCGTCATCTCAAACTTAAACATACATCACAAAATGTAGTTTTTTTACGCCGGTCCTGAATAATCAATCACTTTAAGAGACAATTCGCCAGTCGATCGAGTATCTTGCCAAAGACGGGTCACGAGTGAAAAATTGACAGATACTTTTTATTTCATATTCGGATTCTACTATCAAAACTGGGGTTCTGAAAAATAAAAAAAATACTTTCGGACTTATTCTGGCTGAGTTATAGAATTTACAAAATGAGCACCATCGTCGATTTGCGAAAAGTAGCCATCTTCGATATTTTGACTATAACTCCGTCATTTTTTACCTCTTTTGTTCGAGTAATATCTCATTCGAAAGCCTGATAAAAAGTAAACGAAATCACATGGTTCCTAATTTTTCTGAAGTAGGAAGTGACTGTTTAAACCCACATCAATTGGAGAATTGGAATTTTGCAGGATCAAAATTTTCTATAAAATGCCAGCTTCAACCCTCCAAACAGAATTTAGCTAAGAAGTCGAAGGTTACACGCGATAGAGAATTCAATTTCCCACAAACTGAGCGCAAAAACTTTGTTTTAAAAGTGGTGCAAAGTTTGAAAACTTAAAAACAAGATGACCGGTTTTCGAGTTTTCGGTTTTTTCGAGTAATCAAAATGTGGGTTAACTGTTTCGGTTGACTTTTAGCTGAAATAGAAATTCGATGCTTATGATACTCGACTAGAAATTCCATTTCCGATCAGTCGATTACGACTTCGAGCTTTGCTATCAAACGTGACGATTCTTTGACTGAACGAGCTATGCAAGAATCGCCTGTACAACCGTCCTCTTCTGGAAAAAAGTCGTAGATGACGTGTGAGTAGAGATTAGATTAGTTCGTTATGCATGTCTACAGGATCTTTTTTCTGTTGTTATACCGCTATGATACATTCTTTTCTTAAAAATATGCATCACAACGCGACAGCGGGAGCTTAACGTGTGATAACTAGTTACAAAATTATTTTTCATGAATTTTTGTCGTTGTTTATTTAGATCAAAATTTCTATTCTCAAAATTGTTTTCTCATTATAATTGAATACAATTCGACTAAAGCTGTATAACACGATAGATTCTCATGTATTACGATGCGTTTCAGTTTTTCGCTTTTCGGTTTGAAACCTGGGTTTTATAACCAGTGGACAGAATGGGTTGAGATATATATATGGAAAGATTATCATCGTTCTCAAACAGGGTTTGGCGGAGAAAGTCAGATTTGACTTTGAGAATGGGTTTTGGGAGCCAAAAGTGTGCATTTTCGAGATCTTGCCTGCGGCTTCTGTGCGGGAAGCATTTTGGAGCGAACACGTGGGTGTAGAAGTTGTTTATCGTGTTTTTTCTATGGGATAATACGTTGCTGTCATCAAATTTCCTGAGATCAACCTTTAAAATTGAGAATACTGAGACGCTGCAGTGCGAAGATATTTACGCTACTTTCCCTTTCACTTCGGAGCCAGAAGATAGTGTTCCGAGAATCTTCAACTCATAGAGCATAGACGCTATCACATACGGAATCTAATCGAAGTGTCGAAAATCTAATTTCGAAATTTCGAAAATTCCTTCTGTGGTTTCACGCAGAATTTGATGCTGAACAATTTTTGTTCGAACACTTTTTCGCTGTAATGCTTTCCTAAAGCGTAACACTGTTCAAAGCTTTCTTAAAATAAATTTGCGCTAAGAATGGTGCGCTAGAAATGATATGTGCAAGTCAAAGTCAAGTTTCTCCGTCAGACTTCACCCGGTAACGATGAAAATCGCTTTTTATATAGATATCAATGTGCTCTCTCCAATAACGAAAGATTTAAGGTTCCATCTGGAAAACTGAAGTATTTATTGAAATTTTTGAAAATTGGGCAAAAACCTATGTAGATCTTAGAACATTTTTTTCTCAAAAACTACGGATCCCGACACCAAAACAGTCTTGAAATATTTGTTTTACAGTGTGGTCCACAAACCGGCCGAAACAATGTATATCTTTCATTGTTTAGAAATAAAGAACGAAAAAAACATCGTTTTCATTGTAATTCACGACCTTTTTACCTTAAAAATATTTTTAAAGTTTGAAACCAAGTTAGTCTTACTCAGCTTGATGCGCTCTAACCATGTATCACGAAAAAAAGATCTCACTCAAATTTCGAATTTTCGATACCTTACCTCTTTTAAGAATACTGTCTGCTATAAGATAGTGTTACTTATAAACACGTGATACGATCTGATAACCATTGTCTGACGTATTATAAAATTTCAATCAATATCTAGCAGATTACAATTCATTATTCTTTTTAATACAAATGCAATGAGAAAATAAAACGTGGTGTACCGTACATTAGGTGTTAATGCGTTATAACGAGCCAGACAAGATCCAAAACAAAAATACATGGTTTTCGCGTAACGAATGTATTCTATAGAACTTCTTAGGTGGCCAATTGATTTCTTCTCCAGAAGTTGGTCATGGAAACATTATCCCAACTAGATCAGACATATGCGTTAATGACGTGAAACGTAGCACATAGTATTCAGTCGGTCACCAATGGCCGCTCTCGCCTAAAGCGTTACAGCGTGTTGTAATGACAGAGATTTACTTCCTTATAATGCACTAAATGTTATAGCAGTGTAATACATTAGCCAGTAACATGTTGCAACGTACTGCATGTTATTGCGTCAGAAAATAGTAACACTGTATAACGATATACAAATAGTGACACGTCTATCGTACTTTTAACGTTGCAACATTGTGAACTATGTGAGAGCCACTGACGAGAATGAATTCAAAATGATTTTGAAAATTTCTCGTATTGCAATGCAATAAAAAGCTAACACGTTTTATGGCAACCCAAATGTATTATAATGTATTAAATAGGAGAAAAGGATCCCATGAAGGACACGTTCTAAACCGGCTCGTAAACTAACAAATCTCTTCGATATACGATCAATCTCTATTTTGTAGCTTACCTATTTCGGCTTGCTCAATAGGAGAGCATCGAGGATTAGTTTGATCCCATTGGTCTTCTGCTATAAGTTCACTGTAACAAAATTTCACAGCATTCACAAATTTGTTTAAAGATATATGATCAGCATTGGTACCGAGTGCACCTTCGGATGAAATATAAAACAGATCACCGCAAAAATGAACATCGCTACCAAGTATTTCTGATAATTTCTCATAATAGTGCATCAATGTACCGCCAGAACCAGACTGTGTCATAATTAATTCGCGAAATAATCGTTTACCCCATCCTGGCTGGACATCACTCATTATCTCTTGAATATCGTCCGCTAATTTTGGTTCAGGTGGTTGTAATTTCTCAATTAAAGTTTGTCTAAGTGCCGGTGATATATTAGACCAAATGGGTGAATCGTCTGCAGGTTTTGCTGTTTTAAGATCATGAACCATTTGACGCCAATTTAACTGAATGACATCGAATAATTGCAACAGGTTTGAGACAAACACAGCACCGATTGAACGAACATTATCTCGTTCTTTCAAAGCGAATAATATTTGAATATAATAGGGTTCTAAATGTCCTCTATCTAATACTTCGTAGGCGTCTGGTGGTGAAGCGAAACGCCATATTGGAGGATAATCACCATTAAGAACTTCTGAATGAGACTTCTCATTTAACTGTTTTAAATATGTTGCATGAGCAACAGTATTCCTATAATAAAACATTGATCCTGGACCTATGTAGATGCCATCTGTCGACTGGCTTCTTGTTCCGGCTTTAGCATATAATAATAATCTTTTTGCTTTTTCCTCGAATAGGGATGGAAATTTTTCACTTAATAAGTACTGTTGATCAGCTACATGAATCATAAATGACGGTAGAGCATTGATATTAAATGGAAAATGCTTTGAAAATCCTGTTGTGCCCGAAGATACAGAATACGCAGCAATAGCTCCTTTGGGAACTAATAAATTCACTTCACCGTCTATCGATCGTTGCACATAATCTTTAATATCGTCGTAACTCGAAACAGGTATTTGAACAGTGAATAGATCTACCAGTTTATCAATATCATCTTTCGCTTGTTCTAATAATTCATTTAATTTATGTTTTTTGCCTAATTCTGTATCTTTCAACTGAATTAAAACATCTTTTAGTTGATTTTTATTTATATTTATACCATTTTTATCAACCGATAACAAATGTTCATGCGCTTGTTTCCATTTCATCTTCCTGTTATTCAACCATTGCTCGTAAACAGAAGCCATCGTTTAGCTGTTATTAGTTCTGCAAAAGAACGATATGTCAAGTGTTTTTAAACGCGTATACTGTTTTGAGCTTAATTTGTTGAAACTATCCATATCATTAGAAAATTTAATACTCGCCCGTGCTAAACCAAATTACATAAAAATTTTACATATAAGATCCAATTTTTTTCTAATTTGGTTCAGCGCGGGGCGGGGTTCATCCAATTAATGATTCGGTGGTTTTCAGCAGAGCCAGTTTCTGCTGCGAACAACAGTATAGTAACGATGCATTATAAGAATAGGACCCCACCAGATACACTCGCTCAATAAACCAACAGTAGTTAGTTTGTTGCCCGATTCTGTCTGATGAGATGCTTTTGTTATAATGAATTGCTACTATACCGTTGTTTAATCAAATTTCAACAAGTAAACTGGCTCAGCATTAGAGGATATATGGATGGTTTCTAAACGACAAGAAATTTCAAAATGTTCTATACAAGACTGACTACTCACTTCTACGGTTCAAACGGTTTTCCTTTAGAATAGTATCTCTAAGTCTTTTATTGCTGTAATAAACATATTACTGACTATCGCTGCAGCGTACACATTAACTGATAAGAAAGCAAGAGATGTTTTTTCTCTTTTTAACGGATCACGTTTTATTATATCTATTAAAAGCAAAAGTGAAGAAATAAAAAGCGTGTAAAACGTCATAAGAAGTTTTCTAAAAAGTGTAAAAAGCTGTTGTTTCTAAAGTTTTCATGTTTTAGTGATATTCAACCAAAAAAGATTTCAATGATGCTAGTTTGTAGAGAAAACATTGCTGCTTAAAACTGTCTAACTTTGTACAACACTCGGATTAACAATTATGACAGTTTTTCTAAGAGTCTTAAAATTTGTACCGTACACTGATGTTGCTGTAAAAATGTTGAGGCAATAGAAATCATCCCAAGCTCTGCAGTTCCAGATTTAGGGGAGATATCTACCAAACTCCGAATAAATGATCGATAGAAGAGCATTAGTGACACAAAATCTTGAATAGTTTTCTGGCTCAGAAATTGAAAGGGTTAATAATAGAAGAACACCAAAGCTTTGACAACGGAGGATATCGCATTCAAACAACAGACAAGATGCTCAAGATTATTTAACATTTATTCATTTGAAATTTGTGGTCATCATAACTCTGAAACAAAAATATGATGTTTCAAGAAAGAATTTCTACGGAAACATAGACCAACACCTGTAGTGTGTGTGGATGTAAAATTGCAATAAGTTTTTACAAAAAGTTGTTTCGTGTTTCTATTTATGAAAACAATAACTAATTTTTGCATAGAACATAAGTGTAGAGTGGTATTGGCATTTGAGAACAAAACTAACAAAATCCTCATCAGTGCCCGACTGGAAAAATGAGTATCATGACTATTCCTGTTGGTTGAATTTTCACATAACATCGAAAAGCATTCTTTTTGAAATTCTATATAGTTTTATAATGCATTTCTGACACACTGTCTGACATTTTCTTTCTATTGTATTCTGAAATTTCGAAGGGATTCGAATGGATCTTGAATGACTTGAAGAAGTTTGATTAGGAAAAGAGCTGAATATAGTCTAGTCATTAGAAATTACCATTTGGCAATTGACATTAGAGATGTGTGCAGGGCGCCCTTATCCTACCCTACCCTACCCTGCAGGGTAGGGCGGGGCCAGAGCTTTGTCTAAAAAAGATATATCGTCGGTACAACATTGAGATCGGTGGCTAGCGACAGTTATTTTAAACTCTTTATTTTATCGGATCCATTTTTAGAATTTAGAAACGGTCGATGACATTATGTTGCTACGAAATTTTAAAAGAGAATTTTTATCAATACGATTCATTTATTTAAAAAAGTAAAGAAATAATTGTAAATGAAAAATTCTCAAATTTTCAAAGGGTAGGGTAGGACCAGGACTCAAAAACTTTTCACAGGGTAGGGCAAGGGTTCCATAAACAGTTACCCAGTTAAGAGGTAAAACATTTAACACTCTTTCATATACGATTACTTCAAACAAATGATCTCGTTTTTGGAAAAGCCAGCTACATTCCTTTAGTAGACACGAAGTATGACTTTCATAAGGGATAAAACCTATTTTAAAAGAAATAAAAACTAATCCACCATCGGTGATTATTTGTTAAATAGCTAAATCGAATAGAGTTACTACTCATTTAAGAATTATGAATATAATTACAAAACGTAAGAAGCATATACACACGCATATTGCGGAATAAGAATGCTTTTCAAATACGATTATTGAATATACCAAATGAAAGCTGATGCCAAATTTTCCAAATTCCATATTAGCAATGATGGTAAACTCAATGTTAATATGAATGTGCTATAATACATTAAGGCCGGAGAAGTGTCCATACTTAGTAAACACTCCGTTACAATATGTTGTAACTGGTATTTAAAACTTCTTCCAACTATTTGAAATCATAAAACGTCAAAAATTCGTCAATCATTTTCGTCGTACTGGCCTCAGATTTTGCTTTTTTATATCAAGCATTAAATATACCTGCCGTAGATAGGCGGTAATTCTTTCAAATCTCTGTAAAGCTAGTTTGAATTCTGAATACAAACGATATGATTGAAAAGGTCATGGACTGCAAACACTTGCTAGACAAAAAAGGCCAGTGAAGGCGTTTGCAATCTTTGGAGGGCCATCCTATGCAGGAAAATTACTCACTATCTGTTGACATGGATGTAAAAGATAGGCGCAATGCAGAGTTGTTAGTTTCGTTACTATTACAATTATTAACATACTAGATTTAGCAGGTGGTAAGGGAAGACTAGCGATGAGTATGAAGGAGTCAGATTCCATTTTTTGATCAATGGTTCATCCATATCTACATAGTCCGCCGTAAGTTGCAATCATCATTAATGGGGTTGCTGGGGTTATTCACGGGAACAAATTGGCTTGCTAGGGCAGTACTCACTCGTCAGTGCATGTAAACAAGGCGTGTAGCAGAGCTATGCAAGTCTTAGACGCTTTTTTTCCTCTACATGTTCTCAAAGCCAGATTTTTGATATTCCGCACATTTAACCCATGTTGTGCAAATTACAAACATTTCGCATATCTGAGGAATCGATATCAATACGAAGTTAGATGAATTGTTGATTATAGAAAAATACTTTTTCTCCATTTAAACTTTCCTAATTATTTTCAAAACGTTTTAATTGACTAATTCAATCTTCATCAGTGGATACAAATAATTAATTAAATCAAATTAAAATACACAGAAATGAACAAAATTTCTTTTTAACACACTGATTTTGAGTAACACAATGAGATTTTTTATATGTCACCAAGGCTTTTCAATAAAGTACAATTCTTTTATTACATAAGATTTATTAAAATTAACCAAAAAAATTTATACATGGTGTTTTTTTTATTTGATAACGCAGGAAGCATCTGGAATGTCCAAATAGCAGCCTATGCTAGGTGGCTGTTCTACCAAAAAGATTTTCAAAATTCGCTCAAACTGAAAACTTTCACTTTGAGAAGTTTATATACATCAAATCTATCGGTGATAAAGAACTATTCCTACAAAAATTTAATATAGAAATGATGTTGGATTCTTTTTTTGGGAAAAAAAGTGGAAAAGTCGAAAAAACTGCTTTTCATGAAAATTTTCCATGGAAGTGAATAGCCATATAACTCATAATGTAATTCCTTTTCCATTAACATCTTACTTTCGAATCTATACGAAAATGAAAAACAATCCGGAATATTTAATTAAATCGATGTTGTTCAGACGTCCACTGCTCGTGTTCAGCAAAGAAATAATGACTAATAGAATAGAATAGTTTTCTATTCTAATATGAGAAAACGGAAACAGAGAAAAAATCATAGGTGTTGAATTGTGCAGATGACCAGATTGCCGAAGGATCCTTGATCATTATTGAATAATATATATGTTCAATAGATCGTTATTTCCAACATTCGGAAAAAATGGAAGAAAATATACTGATTTACAGCCTGTTTCAATGAAAAGACGATGATGAGAACGAATTAAATAGTGAAGCGGTAGTTGTAGTCAAAATCAAAATGTAAGGGCAACAGCTTCTGATCCAGAAACAGGATTAATACTGCAGCTGTTTTGAATTTTATCATATCCTTCATTTTCTCTGAATATTTCGACCTTAACCGGTCATTTTCAACATAAAACTACTATACAGAAAAAATGAAAAATACTTTCTTTTTCGATACAGTGACTCATGTACGTTTGGATAGGAGAGAATATATTTACCATTGAAAAACTAGAATTGTACCTTTCTTTTTTATATGCGCATATAAAAAAATACAAAACATCATTATCTATAACTTGCGATTATTGCAGGTGATATAAGTCGTCTCCTTTAATTTTGTTCTTATTTTCCAATCCATTAGGAAAGACATACAAAGAGACAGAACGATCAGTGCTATTTAAAACCGGTTGTTCAGCTGAAATTGGTAGTGATTCCTTGATTAATAACCGATATTTGTGTTATTCTGATAGAACCATACTAAAATCTGAACTGTTTACAATATGTCCTATTTCTTTAAAGTGTTTTGGCAATGGCTGATTTACCTTGCAGTTCTGGGCTACTCGAATTGTCAAAAGAAAGTATTTTTTATTTTTTCTGTACAGTAATTTTATGTTGAAAACGACCAGTTAAGGTCAAAATATCCAGAGAAAATAAAGAATATGATGAAATTCGAAATCGATGTAGTCAAATTCCGAAGAAACGGCTTTAGAATATAGGATAGAAAAGTCAGTCTTCAGTCCTGCATTTAATCAGAAATGGCAACATCGAATCATGCCGACAGCCACTTCCACAAAATTTGAATCGTGATGTGTTGATGATAATATTTAACTATATATGACGTAAAAATGATTTAATAATATTAATTAAATCTATAGTGTTTTGACGCCGATAATAGTCTGTCGCAGACGGACTTTTAGACTTTTAAAGTAATTCGAGATTTAGTTGTAAAAGTAT